TTCCAAACCCGTAAGACCTTCGTTCATCTTCGGAACACAATTTAAGATATTTTTGATGAAATCTGAGAGCTCTCTGACCCTCCCATAGACAGCAAGGTAACTACCACGTTCAAGGTCCAGAAAAGCACCAAGATGATCGACAAAGTAGTCCGTGTGACATCAGTGGTTCAACTGTAAAGTTACGAAGCTACGAGAATACTTTTTTGTGCAAAGAAAACAAAAATAACGACTTTATTCCACATTTTCGTCTCTACTGCGTCATTACGCCGGATCTGGGTCAGCGCCGCCACACACTCGCGTCATGGTACTGTCGTGAACGCGCGTCCAAAATGATGCAGTAGAGACGAAAATGTGGAATAGCTTCGTAGCTTCGTAACTTTACAGTTGAACCACTGATGTCACACGGACTACTTTGTCGATCATCTTGGTACTTTTCTGGACCTTGAACGTGGTAGTTACCTTGCTGTCTATGGGAGGGTCAGAGAGTCCTCAGATTTCATCAAAAATATCTTAAATTGTGTTCCGAAGATGAACGAAGGTCTTACGGGTTTGGAACAACACAAGAGTGAGTAATTAATGACAGAATTTTCATTTTTGGGTGAACTAACCCTTTAAGTGTGAACACACTGGTTTGTCATGCAAACAGTTTTATCGTTTACTGCACGTTGTTATTCTTCTCGTTATTTCCCCACAGAGGCTAATGAACCGTAAGTCTTGCCCATAGGCTTACTTCCGCGTTGAAGAAAAAGGTGGATAGGAGGTTGGCAGCTCATTCCACCACAGATGAACAGAGAAGGTGAAGGTTATGGAAAGTGACTTAGTGTCTTGTTGTGAAGGAAACTTACCTGTGGTAGAAAGCAGCTCCAGTCAGCACCATGGAGTAGTCATTGGTCCACTTGGAGGTGTAGCCCCAGCGCTCCTTGTTAGAGTCCCAGAAATGGCTCCGCGCGGGGTATCCCACGATCCTCTCTGGGAAAATTTGCCAAACCGTAAAGGCAAAATCCACCTGCGGAAACAAGTATTCTATAATAAGTATTTACTCAACCATGCACACATAAACTCTAAGATTTGTCATTGCGTTGAACAATTTAAATGGTTTCCAAAAGCTCAGACACGAACATGATTTCAGAAATACTAAAAAGAGTGTAACCCAAGTTAGTGGTTCAAGATATCGATATCTAGAGAGCAGTGTGACTGGTAACCAAATAATTGCTGAAAATACAATTTAAAGCTCTATTTTTTGCTTGAAATTAAAATGTAACACATTTTGTTTGTACACGAATCAAAGTAGTTTGCATAGTACTAATGAAAATTGTAATAATGCAAATCTTGAAACCAGTTACAATTTTAATGTATTTGCCAATAATTAGCTTTGTTAAGTAATAGTTTTTATTGTTATCTGATATGAATAGCAATCGTTTTGTCTAATATCAGTGTTGCCGAACTTTTGTGACATTATTTTAAAATTCTATTGATTTCAATAAGTAAAAACTGCATTTAAGTATGACAACATACGACAAGGGATAAAAAAAGGGTAATTATGACCTTTTATTTCACAATTCTGAGAAGAAACGTCTGAATTGTGAGATAAAAACCTAGAATTGTAAGAAAAAAGTCAGGATTGTGAGATAAAAAGTTGTAATTAACCGTTTAGTTTTTTATTTTGTGACACAAACAAATAAAATAAATTGCGAGATGCAAACTCCGAATTCTGGGGGAAAAAAGTCAGAATTGCGAGATCTAAACTCAGAATTATGAGAAATAAAAACTGAATTGTGAGGTGTAAAGCCAGAATTCCAGGGAAAAATTGCAAAATTTAAACTCAATTTAAATTGTGAGACAAAAAGTTGCAACTACCTCTTTTGTTAGGAAAAAAACATTTTCTGTGGCGGAAACAAGCTTAATGATCTTGCTCATAAGACATATTTTTCAGATATCCTTCTCTCATTATCTTGAGAGATTTGATGTTATTAGAGACATTCACACTGATCAAGGTGATCGTTACCAAGAAACTTGTGTTTATACTTTAACTGCTAGTGGACAGAAAGTTACATAGCGTAACTTTAATGAGCAAAAGTACCAAAAAAAGTACAACAAAACGAGCACTTATTTTATACAATACTTATGCAAAATTGGCAAAAACCTAGAACCATTCTGATTTGTTGGCTCACCTCTGTAGTCGAGAGGACAGTGTCTTCATCCAGACTCAAGACTGCATCAGTTCTGATGTTGTCATAGGGCAGGAATCGGCTGCTCATCACCTAAATGTCATCAATGCATGAAACCTCCAGAAAATGCTCAATATCTTTGACTTTAGTTAAGATAAACATTCAAGGCAGAGCGCAAAACCCCGGCAACAGCAAATCTATACACCATCCATTTGTGATCGCAGGCGAGTAACACCAGACACTTCATGTGATATGATGGGAATAGACAGAATTGAATGAGTGGAGATTCACCTTGCTCTCGCCCTCGATTACAATGACTGGAACAGAGGTGGCGGGCCAGCGGTGCTTCGCAGGGAGAGGCTTATCACAGTTCCACAGGACAATGATCTGATACAAGAACATAGTGAGAACATCAGATGCTGTGAATCCAGCACGTACCACGATCATTTCTACACTCTAAAAAATGCTGGATTGTTTCAACCCAATGTTGGGTCAAATATGGACTAACCCAACTGCTGGGTTAAATTTTGGTTACATTTTTAAATTAACTTTTTAACCCAACAGTTGGGTTAGTCCATATTTGACCCAACATTGGGTTGAAACAACCCAGCATTTTTTTAGAGTGTAGAAAGATTGCAGAATCTGAAAATTATTTTCTTCATTTTACATCTTAATGTTTTTCCGAAAACATTTTTTTAAAATTATTTCCAGGTTTAAATTTGATCTTGAATGCCTAATTGTCTGACTTTTGGACCCAGGGGCCAGTCATTGAACCAGTGAGTGCTTTGCAGCAATCGGTAGCAAACTTTTGGAGGTATGAGAGTTTAATGAATGCGCTGCATATTCCCTTCAGTGTGCTCCCACTCTCCTGTTCTCTCACTCATTTCACTCTCACTCATACTGTTCTCACTGCTCCTCTCCCACAACGATCACACCCACCCCACAGTAACACCTCAAACACTGTAATTAATCAAGACGCGTGCCGTAATCAGGAGGACGAGTGGCTATTTTTAAAAGCCCTGTCACTGTGGAGGCATTGAGAAACAAGATGAGAGAAAGAGAGAGAGGAAAAACAAGCCAGATGCATTTATTATGAGTGCATTTGGCTCTGAGATATCAAGTAAAACATTTAGCTCAATGTCTTCCATTTGAGCTGCTTATGTCTTCACACTTACTCTATTAAATCTGTTCAATTCTGGATGAGAAAAAAAATCAATGAAAGGTGGTGATAAGAGGAATTTAGATACATGAGCCTTCCACTTCTAAAACAGTCTTTTCTCCTCTTTGTCTTGCTCTTTATCTCATTGTATGATATCTCCATAGAGACAGTCTTCACTCTTTCACAAACACAATTGCCTTGAAAACTTAAAGCAGTCGTTTCCAGCTTGCTTTTGCAGCAGTTTTTAACCTGCAATTGTTACCTTAGAGAGCTATTTGATTTGATCCTTTGATCCCCTGATCCCTTTTGTAGCTTACTGTACACTTTGTTACCATTTAAATTAAAAAATAAAAGATCTACAGTGTTTAAAGTTTGAGTGTTTGATTTCCGTTTCATGCTTTCAGCAGCCATTCACAAACCACACTGTAAAAAATTATTGTGCAGTTTAGTTTTCAATTAATTTTTTTAAAAAGTTGATACAACTTGCAGTTTCTGAATTTGTTCATTCAGCTTGATATTTTATGTTTTCTCATGTCTCAACTAGTTTGTAAGTTGACTGAACTAGAGTATTTGCCCCTTCAACCAAAAAAATGTGTTGAATAAATTCAATAACGTTCTCAACATCACTTATCTCTGTATGATTTCAACATGTTTGAGAGTTTGTCCTTAACATTTGTTCATTTGCAAGCGACAATAAAGTCATGGAAAAATGTGTTTATTTATTTGGTTGACTGTGCTATTGCAAGTTGAGAAAATATGCCACATTAGCTTCAATAAGCTTACATTTTAATACAGATAACTTGAAAATGTAAGTTAATATTTCAACTAAACTTTGCAAGTCCATGTTACTTGAAATAAGTATTAATGATGCCAACTGAACGTTTTAACTTGAAAGTTGTTTTAAGTTGCTTTTGTCATTTTTACTATTTTTTTATTTAATTTTTTATTTATTTTTGTTTCATTTTTAGTAATAATAACATTTAGTACTTCAACCCATTGACGTTAATTGCCAAGGCAACATTTCTAATTTTAAAAAGGGTTTTACATCTACAAGTTTTACATCTAATCTAAAATGATTCTTTTGTGATTCTTTTTGTCGGTTGTTCCCTCTGCTGAATATGACCCTGTCACAACAGACTGTTTTGGATCATGACCCACCAGTTGAGATCCATTGCCTTAAGGTACCTCATCCTCCTTGCACAAATGTATCAATGATTTATTGATATTAAGACATTAAGAAGTAATGCATCATTTAGTAAGTGCCAGGCGTCCCAGCAGGATCTCATGTTAGAATCACTATAACACTGTGCTAGTATTTAGTGTGTTTAACTCAACACTAGTCAGTTTGACTGTGTATTATAATAGATCAATGCAAGTCAGTGACAGCAAATGATGAGGCATTGAACACTAAATGTTATTTACAGTCTTGTTTATAAAGCTTTAGATGCATGCCAAAATATGGATGTCACCGTTCCTTTCCTTGTCAGTATCTCTAAAATAAATACTATAAAAACCCATTATTCACTCACTCACTGTTCAGATCAGTGCTGAGGTCTAAACAGGTTTATGTATTATAATAGAAGATGACTAGCCATCATCCACTTAGTGTCAGTGACTTTTTGACACAGACATCTTTCTCTTACACACACCCTCGCACACACACCCTGCGGCATGTGCCCAAATATATGGCCATTATCTCTTTTGGTTGCTATGGTAACCCTAGCCTGCGATTGCAGGCTTTAGGTGGTGATGACACTGTGTGTGTGTGTGTGCTTATATGTTGGTATTGGAATATTGAGTTCATTTGCAGTTACTATTTTGAAAAGTAATGATGTCACTCGTGTGCCTTCAAACTGAGACAACCCACACACTTAGCATGCATAAACATAAGAAATACACACACACAATCCACTGTCATAATATCAGTTTCATCCACCACAGACTGCTGTTAGTGAACGTGCCATTTTCACTTGAACACACGCTTGTTAAAGCAGTCAGCTGTGGCTGACATTGATGTCTGTGTTCTCTTCTTTGTAAAGTCCAGAACTGAAAATACATGTTTTTTGCAGATATGGTCAATCTTGATTGATTTATTAGGAATAACAAGGACTGAATTCATCCATGACTCTATTTTACCTCATGCGAGCATTGTGTTCCAAATTGGCAAGCGACTGTAAATCCTCTGAGGATGTTTTTTTGGCTGGTTGTCTCACATTTTGTTCGACTGAACTGATGTTGGCCTCCATATTTTCTTCTTCACTTTTGCTTCCTAAGACATCAGGTCCGAGTAAAGGAGAAAACCAATTTAAATTGCCCCCAGGAACTGTTGAGTTTTATTTATTTTTTTAAAGCTCACTGTCTTCCATTGTCTGCTTAGAGAGACTTTACTCTGCCTGACAGAGAGTATTCAGAGTACTTGAACGATGGAGTCACTGCTTGTGACTGGTTTTCAGTGGTTCAGTTTAAGATGGACTAAAAGTGACTTTTATGGTCTTGGATATGCCTGCAGTTCCCTTACAACACATCCTGGAAGCTTTGTAATATGTTCTGTTGGTTGCCATACCTGATCATTGACACTTTGAAGAGACATTGGCTTATCTAAATTACCCATTCAAGGAACACATTAGTCCTGTGTAACCAGGTTTAAATGTTCAGGGAAGAAGAAGCCAGAACCCGGCGAACATTAAAACACTTTAATTATAAAATAAACAACCAAACGAAAGTAATGCGGCAGCCCCTCACAGACGACCAGGTACAAACATAAACCACACATACTGTAAAGTCCAGGCCTGGTCCTCTCTCGTCTTGCACTGTCATCACTACTCCTTTTATCCTTCCGGAGCTCCTTCGTGGGACTCAAGACCGGTGAGTGGGACAGGTGTCGCCAGTGTTGGGGAAAGTTACTTTTAAAAGTAATGCATTACAATATTGCATTACTCCATGAAAAAGTAACTAATTACGTTACTTAGTTACTTTTTATAGAAAGTAATTTTTATAAAAATTTAAAAACTTTTTAAATCTGGACAGGGCTTGCTTGCTTGTTTTTAAAATAAAAAAGTTATATTTTTGGCAAATATAAAAGCCTTTTCACACCAAAAGTGAAATGAATTTGAGGGAAAGTAAATTTAAGTCCGTACAGTAGAATGCAGAAGAAGAAATTTCAACACACTTCAGCAATAAAAAAAGACACTCAAATGATTATCTAGAGTAATTTTTGCTTATTAGTACGGTTGACCTGGATCACCGAAGGTCAGAAGCAAAGACATTGGTTAATAGAATGGGATTAAATACATAAAGGATATTTGTTAACATTTAATTATTGCAGGTTTGCGTCATATTCTGAGTTGCGTTATTTTTATTCATTTTGAGGAATACTGAATCTGTGTTTTTTTTTGTGAGTGAGATGAATTAATGCATTTTCATATTTATTTTAGAACTACAGTAACATCTTCTGATTTCTGTCACCATGGCGACACCTGAGCTGTCAATCAATTGGAAAAAAAAGTAACTTGCCTTACTTATTTGAAAAAGTAACTCAGATATTTTCTTGTAAATTAAAAAGTAATCCGTTACTTTACTAGTTACTTGAAAAAAGTTATCTGATTACGTAACTTGCGTTACTTGTAATGCGTTACCCCCAACACTGGGTGTCGCTCATCATCATTTACTCCATTGGCCTCGCTCTGTTCCCACAGCTCTCGGGCCTCGCACCACTTGTCACATCCTGATTCTTTGAGCACTCAAATTAGAGAAGTACAACCCTCTTCTATACCCTGTTAACCATGATTAATGTCTTTGACTGTTCAATAGCACGAAGAGCTTTTGATTCACATTATATTATCTGTAACTGCTTTTTTATTCTTTCGTACTTTTTTCAGTCGAAGGACACTGAAACCCTGTGGAAGCAATTTTCCAGTCCAAGCAAGAGAATGAGCATCTTTCAGATCACTTTTAAAACATTGCAGCTGTTTTTGCATAAAATTGTTCAAGCAGGAAGATAACGGCTTGATGTGATGAAAAACACTCAGCTAGAAAATAGAGTTTGGTTATTAGATCAAATGCCACTTGCTGGTCAAATGCTTTGATGCTGAAGAAGTAGAAATGACTCAGTGCTCGGAACTGAATTATATACGTCTAACATACAGAGCCAATTTGGTATCATTAACAGTGTTGGGGAAAGTTACTTTTAAAAGTAATGCATTACAATATTGCATTACTCCATGAAAAAGTAACTAATTACGTTACTTAGTTACTTTTTATAGAAAGTAATTTTTATAAAAATTTAAAA